GAAGGCCTGCAACTCGCTGCTGCTCAAGATAAACCAGATTGGCACAATCACAGAGACCATGGAGGCATTCAAGCTCTGCACGGCGAATGGCTGGTCGGTGCTGGTGTCGCACCGCAGTGGCGAGACGGAGGACACGTACATCGCGGACCTCGTTGTGGGTCTCGGCTCTGGTCAGATCAAGACGGGCGCGCCGTGCCGTGGTGAGCGTACTGCGAAGCTGAATCAGCTGCTCCGCATCGAGGAGGAGCTTGGGGCACACGCCAAATTTGGGTTCCCCGCTTGGGCGTAGGCAGGGCCCGTTTTAGGGAAAGGACGTGGGGCAAAAAGGGGTAAAATGAAAGGTAATGTGTTTGCAATTTTAGCTTTAATTATTTGTTTTTTGTTGTTTTTTTTGTGTGTGTGGTTCCGGCTAGATGGGCAAAGTAAGAATTCTACTACGCTGTGCGTGCGAGGGTGATCCTTTACGGTATGGAGTTATTGATATGGGTTCGGTCAACGGGACGAAATGTAAAAAAGGGAAGAAAGAAAAAGAAGGGGATTATGTTATTGATGTTTGGAAGTCACTTATAGGAAAGGGTGAGTGATATATGGTTTTCCGTTCTTAGTTTGTTTGTTTTTGTTTTTTTTTGTTTGTTTTTTGTTTATTTGTTTATTTGTTTGTTTGTTTTTGTTATTGAGTTGTTTTTTGTTTGTTGGGTGACAGCAATTCATTGGGAGTTACTGTGGGGGTGGAGTCTGTCTTGGTTGCGTATCTGTATTCAGTTTCTTTCTTGTGTTCTTGTGTTGGTTTTGCTTTGTTGAATGGTCAGTGCATAGAGGGCTTTTGCGGTAGGGTTGTGTGGAGGTTTTGTTTGGTCGTTGTGCTGGGTGTACTGGGCTGATTTGTGGCACTGACGGAATTGTACGTGGTAGCACGTGATGTCCTACTTGACCGAGTTGCTGCTTTCCCTTGGGAATGGGGATCCTGCGGTGCGGGTGCCTGCGGAGCAGCAGGTGGCTCAAGCGAGACAGTCGGATCTTTCGGGTTTCCTGTGTGCGGTGCTTTTGGAGTTCAGTGATGAGTCGAAGCCGGCGTTCGCGCGCCACATGGCAGGCACGTTGTTGAAGAACTCTATCGCCCCGAATCTTCGTGACCCAGTGGCTCGGCGGGCGTCAGAAAGGGAGTGGATGGCGCTCTCTTCTGATGTGCGTCTGAGGGTGAAGCAGGGGGTGCTTTCGTTGCTTGGGTCCCCGATGAAAGAGGTGCGTAATGTGGCGGCAAACATTGTTGGAAACCTTTCACGCATTGAGTTGCCCGCAGGAGAGTGGAATGATCTTCTTAATATTCTTCTTAGTGCTGCAGAGTCTAACAATGAGCAGCATCAAGAAGCGGCACTCACCGCAGTGGGGTATGTGTGTGAGGAGGGTCGTGAACATGACAATGTGGGGAAGGCGCTTGTGCCTTTCACTAACAGAATCCTTTCTGCCGTTGTGCACGGTATGAGTAGTCATCACGAGGATGTGTGCTACTACGCCACCAATGCTTTGTGTAATGCGATGGAGTTTATACATGATAATATGAAACAGCAGGAGCAGCGGGATCGGCTTCTGGACGCCCTTTGCACCACTGCCAAGACAAGCCAAACCCCACGAACACGCGAGAAGGCGATGGAGTCCTTGGTTAAGGTTGCTGATATGTACTATTCAACCTTGCCCAATTACATTGAGTGTTTGCATGCAATTACAACGAGTGCCATCTTTCAAGATGAGGAGGTTGTGGGTCTTCAGGCAATGCTTTTTTGGATATCTATCTGTGAGACTGAACAGGAAATGAAGGCGGAGGGTGACACAAGGTGCCTTAACTATGCTCTGAAAGGGGCATCCATGATCTCGGAGATTGCGCTTCAAGCGCTTCTGCAGCAGGAGGAACAGCAAGAGGAAGGCGATTGGAATATTTCTATTGCCGGAGGCAAGTTACTGCAGAGCCTCGCATTGTGCATTGGGGATCCCGTTATTTCTTTGGTTATGCCCTTCGTCTACGCCAAGGTTGGAAGTGCAGACTGGCGGGAAAAGGAGGCTGCGGTGATGGCATTTGGGTGCATCTTAAATGGACCCTCCGCAAACGCCATTCAAGACACTGTTGCACAGGCTTTGCCTGGACTCCTACAGTATTTTCGTGATAGCCACCCGATGGTCGCCGATACCTCAGGATGGGCGCTGGCCGTTGTGTGTGAGTTCTTCAGTGATGTCTTCTTGGAACAACCGACATTTCTGCAGCAGCTCATGAACCTCATTACCCCAGTGATAAGTAGCGGGGGCGCATCGGCGGTTAGGTCGTGCCACATTCTGCATAACCTTGCTCTTGCCTATGAAGAGGAGGAGAATCAACCTACCAATGAACTTTCTAGGTACTTTCCAGACCTTCTCAACGTTCTACTTGTGGCTATTGATAATGGTATTAATCAGAATGTTAAAACTGTTGCACAGGAGGCACTTAATGTCCTTGTTGATGCAGCTGCTGTAGATTGCTACCAGTATCTGCATATTCTGGTACCTGAACTGCATAAGCGTATGCACGCCATGATTAATTTACAGATACAAGGCCAGCTTAGTAACGCGGAGGTCATGACGATGCTTGGCTTGCTATGTGGGTCGCTTGGTAGTGTAGCGAAGAAGGTGCAGACCGCCTTTACACAACACCTGCAGTCAAGTATGGCGATCATGTTGCAAATCTTCCAAAATCAGTCCGATACTGTGCTGGACGAGGCCCTTACAATGCTAGGAAGTTTTGCACATGCCGTAAAACAAGGACTTGTTCCCTATTTAACAAGCGTTGCCCCGTATGTCCTGAAGGCGTTGCAGTGCGTGGATGAGCCGGATCTCGCAGTGGTCGCCGTAGGCGCCTTGGGTGACTTGTCGCTCAGCCTTCGAGAGGAGATGGCACCTTACACTGACACATTCCTCAGCGTCATACATCAACACCTGCAAAACCCGGAGGTGGATCGCGAGCTGAAGTGCACCTTTCTTAACTGCCTAGGCGACATTGCGTTGAATGTTGGGGGTCAATACTTTTCACAGTACCTTGACGTCTTTATGCAGAACTCGGAAACCCTGTATAGGCAGAGCACCACCCTCAACATTGCCGAAGACCCAGAGAACGAGGAGTATGTTATGGCATTATGGGAGAGCATAGCTGTCTTTTATACAAGCGTGTGTCAAAGTTTTAAGAGCGCCGAGACTCAGCTGGCGCCATACCTGCAGACGATTCTCCAATTTGCGCTTTATGCGTCAACGACGGCGATGTCTCTGGATTACGTGGATGTGTCCGCTGCGGCTGTCTCGCTTATTGGTGACATGGCGTGTGTGTTGAAGAGCGTGTCCTCGCAAGAGCTGCGCCAGCAGGGGAAGAGCGCCCTGCTGACGGATGTTGTGTGGGACGTGGTGAATCGGGCGGCTGCAATGGACCACGACCCGGAGGCGAAGGGGCAGATGCAGTGGGTGGCAAAGCAGTTGGGGTTGTTGCAGGCATCTTGAACGGGAGGAGAGAAACAACAACAATAATGAAAACAAAACAAAAAAAAAAGTGATGCGTCGTGCAGAGAGGTGGGGAGAAATAATTGGAGCAGCAACGAAAGGGGGAGGGGAGGAGGAGGGAAGCAACGAAAAAGAGGAAGAGAGAAGAAGAAACACAAACAAAAAGAGGAAGAATACCACGTTTATAAATCACGGCAGGGACATCGGGAGTCAGCAGCCCACCCGCCACTCTGTGCCGCCTTCTGCCGTTGATTTAGCGAACTCGCACTTCTGTGTGGAGTTGCACAAAGACAACAACAACACTGCGTTCCCTGCAGTAAGGGGTTACGTAGGACACCATAAGGCAGTGCACACCAGCGGCGGAAATAACCCACACCAAGAGACAATGGGGAGCATGAAGAAAAAAGAAGTGGGAAGGGGGCAAAGGAAGGAAGGAAGGAAAAGGAATCATCAGATGACGGAGCTGAGACGGGTAGTCATTAAAGAGGGCGTCTGGCGAGAAGGAAGGAAAGGTGGAACAAACATGAATAGGGATTCCTGAAGCGTTTAAGCAAGAGGTTCCGATACGTGTGTGTTTGTGTGTATTTGCGTATGCGTCTTTGAGTGGTCTAACTTGTGGAGCCGTGTGAGAGGCGTCGGATGAAAGAAGCGGGGGGGGGGAGGGGGAAGATGAAGAAGAGGTGAATGGTTTCTTTAATTGATGGATGTGTGCCGATGTACATCCATGACACAATCAAGGACCATTGCGGATGCAGTCATATTTATACATATTTATATATATATAAATATATATATTTAATCCCCCGTTCACACTTTGCTCCTCTGCACTTCTCGAGCATTTAAGTTGCTTCATTTGCATACATGCATACATCTTTCTCCTTGTATTGACCTCAGTAGGAGTATAAGATATAAGTTGTTGTGCATTGTTGTTGTTGCTCTTTGTTTGTTTGTTTGTTTGTTTGTTGTTGTTGTTGTTTTCACATGCGTTACCATGTGCGTGTGTGTTTCTTCTTTATCAATCTCAATTTTATTATTATTATTTTCTGGTGATTTCGTGTTCGTTCTCTCCTCTCCCTATTCTGCGTCTCTTTTCCCAAGACGAGGGAGACTGTTACGGAAGACCGCAGAATAGTCTCAACGAGAGAGCTGACGCTGCCGTGGCGAACCCCTTGTGCGAGTGGGCGCGTGTGTTTCACCTAAAGCAGAACAGTAAGCAGAAAACGTTGGGAGAGAGGCCGCAGACCCACAGGAAAAAAAAAACGGGAGTCACCGCAGCCATCACGCCAGGCGCGTACACACACACACACACACACACACACGTATTAACATCAT